AACTTAAAAGTAACTAATTAAATAGGCATTTCTGTTCCATTTTGACTGTGTGTGCTAGAGTGAGTCAGCAGTGTACAGTGGGGATGCCTGAGCTAGGGATTTTGTTTACATACAGACTTTTCCAGCTGTGTGAACTGTGTGATCTCCATGAGCTTCAGCTTTTCAGAACAGTAAAATAGGGCTATTAATCTAATATTCAATATTGTAAATAACAAGTGAAAATGTAGACATTCACACATATGTGCTCACACACACACGTATACGCATACACATACCCTAATCAGTACCTGGTATACAATATGTATATATTAAGTGACAGGTAATATATAATCAAATATATTTTGTTTATTGTGTAATGTTTGGCAGAAGGGTAATAATTGGAACATTTTGCTAGAGCCAATGAATATAGTGAGAAAAAATGGAATTTAGGGTTTATGAAATTGTATGAATATCTAATATTCCATAAAATAAGTGCCATATCTGTAGTATGTCTGAGAAAACTGCAGAAAAAATAAATTTAGTGACTGAACCAGTGTTGTCTCATAATTGGTTCCTTCTCTCCAGGAAACTGAGAAATGAATTGATCAAAATAGACACATTTGAATTCATATTTAAAGACCAGAGTACTATTCTGCCTGTCTTCCTTTCCTTTAATTCATTAAACACTTTATTTTTATTTTTTTATTTTTTGAGACGGAGTTTCACCCTTGTTGCCCAGGCTGGAGTGCAGTAGCGCAATCTCGGCTCACTGCAATCTCCGCCTCCTAGGTTCAAGCAGTTCTGCTGTATCAGCTTCCTGAGTAGCTGGAATTACAGGCTCCCACCACTACACCCGGCTACTTTTTGGTATTTTTAGTAGAGATGGGATTTCACCGTGTTAGCCAGGCTGGTCTTGAACTCCTGACCTCAGGTGAGCCAACTGGCTTGGCCTCCCAAAGTGCTGGGATTACAGGTGTGAACCACCGCTCCTGGCCCATTAAACAAATATTTATGGCCAGGTATGATTGTAGCTCCAGAGAAACAATGATGAACGATACCAAGATGGTTTCCCCTCCGTTTTAGAAGCTTATATTCTGCTTCCAAGTAGAATATGGTTAATTTCAGCTAAAATACTTTCTGTGAATAATGAAACAACATGGTGAGAAACAGGGGTTAGAGAATCCCTTTATAATTCAGTGACCAGGGAGGACCTGTCTACAGGCTCTGAGACGCAAGCAAACTTCGTATTCCCTCATCTCACTTGCAGGCACGATGTTACTGAGTAATCCTCTTGCTTCACCGAAAGATGTAATTCAATGAAAGTTCGTATTGTTTGATATTATACATTCTTATTTTTGATCAATTTTAAAAGACTCTTGGGTACGTATGTGATCATAAAAGGAGGCCTTAGAGTTTACTTTTGGTGAAATGATAATGTGTGACAATTGGAAATATGATTAAATTGAGAAATTACATGCAATCTTTTAAAGAACACAGCTGTTGTAGAAAATGAGATATCTGTATTTGCTTTAGAGCCAACACTGCTGTAATGTTTTTTGTAAAGCACATAATTGTAATGCAGCAAAATGCTTGTGTGGAAATTGGGATGTTGAATAGTCTTCCTGGAGCATCTTCAGGATTTGTCAGATCGCTTTCTCTCTCTGGCAACATAAAACATCTCATGTGGCAGAAGCGGTGCAAACCTTTAGGCGTTTTAATGGGCCAATGGACTGTGAGCTCCTTGATGGAAATCACACCATGATGTCTCATTATTTCCAAACAATACAAGAAAATCCATGGATGACAATTCTGGTGTCTTATTTGATGATTAAAATGCTTTAAAAAGTCTCATACATTAGTAAGTGTATCTAGCAATAACAAGTTCGTGTTGTGACAGATAGTGAATATTAATGTCCATGAAGTTTTTAGTTTAATTTTTAGCTGTAAATTGATATGATGTTTTTCTTTATTAGCTATGTTTAAATTACTTCCCTTTGTTGTCAATGACATGTACAGGTAGCAAAAGAAATAAAGTATATATGATTTATTTTTCATCTACTAGACAGCAGATTTTACGTACTTTAGTGGTGATGGATAAAATTTCCACATAACATTTTCATGCAACTTGTCGCATTAACAGGGGCTCAGAAATTATTATTATTATTATTTAATTTTTTTCCAAGATGGAATTTCACTCTGTCGCCCAGGCTGAAGTGCAATGGCGCAATCTTCACTCACTGCAACCTCTGCCTCCCAGGCTCAAGCAATTCTCCTGCCTCAGCCTCCCAACTAGCTGGGATTATAGGCATGTACCACCACACCTGGCTAATTTTTTATTTTTAGTAGAGATGGGGTTTCACCATGTTGGCCGGGCTGGTCTCAAATTCATGACCTCAGGTGATCCACCCACCTCGGCTTCCCAAAGTACTGAGATTACAGGTGTGATCCACCATACCTGGTCAGAAATTTTTTTTAATGACACAAAGGTTACATGAATTATTCCTGCCCAAATGATGAATTTTGTGTTTGTTATTCAGTCAGATTATTATATTGTCTTGAGAGGTTTCAAATGTTTGAGTGAGAGGTGCATCGGTGCATCTTACCCTCTGACATCCCTGGTGCTGATGCAGCGCTGACCTATTACCATCTGCATCTTCTTCTGGAACATTCACAGCAAGATAGATGCTAAAATTAGGACTCAGATAGCATTTTCTGATGAGTATTCTCCAAGGATGTGTGTGTGTATGGCTAAGTAATAATACTTGTAGATAATTTTTTAACTATAGATTGTGTTAAATAACGAAAGAATATTTACATCAATCTTGCCATCTATGTGTAGCCACTGTTAGTATTCTGCTGTTTCTTTCTGATTGCTTTTCTAAGAGAATGTGTTTGGTTGTGTGGACACACATATGCCTATTGCTTAGCACATAAAAGGTGCTATATAAATATGTGAATAAATGAATGTCTTAATATATGGAATAATTTGTATAATATATATGTGTGTATGTTGTTATTTTATTTTTAATTGACAAATAATTGTATATATTTATGGGGTACAGTGTGATTTTTGATATATGCTTGTGGAATGATTACATCAAGCTAATTAACATATCTGTCACCTCATATGTTTTTTGTCATGAGAATGTTTAAAATCTATTCTTTTTAGCAGTTTTGAAGTACATAACATTATTCAGTATAGTCAGCATGCTGTAGAACATATCTCTAAAGCTTATACCTGCTATCTAACTGGAACGTCGTGTTCTCTGGGCAACATCTCCTCATTCCTGATTGCTTTCTCATCCAGCCTCTGGTAACCACCTTTCTAAGCACTGTTTCAATGAGTTTGATTTTTTTTATTGCATGTCTATAAGATCATGCAGTATTTATATTTCTGTGCCTCTTATTTCACTTAGCATAAGGACACGAAACAGCAGATATGATCTAAATAGACACCGTTTTGTGTCCTTACTTAGATTTTTTACTTAACCCAGATAATTCTCAAAATATATGAAATATGTAAAACATAAAAATATAGTTTTTGATAACCTCAGAATCATATATGTATATATGTACAATAGTTTCTTTAACCTCCTTCCCATATGAATACTACTTTGCATTCTGCTGTTATTTTGTGATATACATTTTTACCATCAACTTTTATCAGTGCTTAACTACTTTGTTAGTATGTAATCCTAGAGAAGAAATTACTGGGGAGTAGAATGTAAACCTAAGATAACTATTAATCCTTTTTGCCAGACTTGTGTTATTCAAAAATGATAATTTTGTTGAATTACAAAGATTAGCTATTCATCTAGAAAATTTGGAAAGCAGAAAAAGAAAGCACAAATAAAATTGGGAAGGAATTATTTATAATTCTGGCACTTAAGATGATTTCATGTAAATGTTTTTGATTTATGTAAGTTTAGTCTTATTTAATCTATTACACATTTACCAAAAATGATCAATTTGTTTCCTTAACTGCTTCTTTTTCCTACTTAGTAGTATATCATTACATAGTCCTCCTCTGCCTTTAGACAGTCGTCTACAATGCAGTTTACTGGCTGGTTTTGAAAGGGCACGTCCATGTAATGCATTTAATTACCTCCTCCTTTGTGGACCTTGACTTTGTTTCCAGTGTTTAATTTGATGTGGGATTCTAGGAAAAAAACTCTTGTGTTTTGCCCCTTGGACACATCTGCTATGATTGCATTAAGACAAATTCCTAGGAGAATTGCTGGTTCAACTTTCAGGAACGATTTTTTTTTTCCCCCAAGATGAGCTTTCGCTCTTGTGACCCAGTCTGGAGTGCAGTGGCACCATCTCAGCTCACTGCAACCTCCACCTCCTGGATTCAAGCAATTCTCCTGCCTCAGTCTCCCGAGTAGCTGGGATTACAGGTACCCGCCACCGTGCCTGGCTAATTTTTGTATTTTTGGTAGAGACAGGGTTTCACCATGTTGGCCAGGCTGGTCTCAAACTCATGACCTCAAGTGATCCACCTGCCTCGGCCTCCCAAAGTGCTGGAATTATAGGCGTGTGTCACCGCGCCAGGCCAGGAACGATTTTTAAGCATTGACAAATACTGCCACGTTACCTTTCCACAGGTTGTGATAATTGACATTCACAACAAAAAGAAGTATGAAAGTGGAAGAAGATTATAAAGAACTTTAGACTATCCACTGTAAAATTAACTGAATCACTTTCCAGAAAGCCTGTGCCTGTTCACCCTCTTTGAGAGGAGCAAGATGGAACCCAATTTGAGAGTTCACTGGGCATTCTCTTGAGGGTGGGACATATTCATTAGCTGGGTCCGAAACAGGAAGAGCTGAATATGGAGTGGTTAGGTGATTTAACTAAATGTTCATATGAAATGAGAGAGAAGGCTTCTCTTAGTTGCTGGGTCTTTCAATTACCAATTTAACTCATTAGCCTGCTTCTTGAGTTTATTGTCAAGTGAGTTTTATTATTTTCCTGTCACTAATTGTTTTGAGAAAAGTCATTGTGTGTTTCTCTTCCAGCCCCTTCAGCGGCTGCACAGGGAGCATGGTCTTGGGAGTGGTACTTGAAAGAACAGAAGGCTGTCGCAGCACCTGTTGAGCTGTTTTCCAAGGTCAGCCACTGAAGGACTTATATTTATATTAAGAGGTTTAGTTAAAATGAAATGACTTTCTTAGATAGCCCATCAACTTATTTGAATTATTTGTAGGCTTTGCTGGCAAATGACCCCACAAAATCTAATCAGAGCTTTAGTGTTTCAGAGTGGGCTGGAGCCCAGCGCCACCACCTGTCAGCTCTGTGACCTTGGGCAAGTCATTCAATTCAGTTTCCTCATCCATGAGGTAGGAAAATTTCCCTACCTTCTTTCTCCTTGGGTGCTTGGAGGACTAAATCACTTGTACCCATAAAGAATACAGGATGCAAGGTGCACACTATAAATGCTCAATAAGCATTAGGTTTTACTTTTATTAGTCAGTATTACCTGCAGTTAGAGGGATCTGTTTGGATGTGTTGCTGAGAGTGGTGAGTCAAGCAAGATGTCAGAGAAGACATTGAAACCCCTGAATCCTGGCATACATGACTAGAAAGGTGACCAGAGTAGGCGGTGTAGACTTCCTTGACTGTCTGCTAGCACCAGGGCCTTACACAGGATCATCTTTACGCAAGACACCAAATCTTCTGGTAGTCTTTTTGTTCTTCTTGGTCTGAGTTTTAGATGTTTTGGGGAAATTTATATGCATCAAATTTGCCTCATTACTTTACTTTTTTTTTTTTTT